TTGTGAAAAAAATTGTTATACAAATTTTATGTACCCCCTTTAAGGGGCTGTATCTTAACAAGGGATGCTCCAATGAAATTTCTTTATATGAAAAATCCTATCTTTTTTTCGATGAGGAATCACCTCCTTAAATGTTTTACACTCATTCAGTTACACCCTGTATAATAAGTTTAGTGAGGACATTTAATCCTCAAATATCAATGTCTTTAAAAAGAGACTCAGGATTTTTCTATTACAAAAAATATACTACTCTGTGGATGAGTTTCTCCTTGAATCCTAATTTGATTGTAGCCTATTACTTTCTTTGTTATGTATGTTTTATATTGTCTAATGTGATTGTGAATGAAAACTGATTCAATAAATGTTTGATTGATTGATAGACAATGTGTTCCGTTTCAGGTGAAACTAGGCAAGCCCAAAGTCGCCTTCCGAGAATCCCTCGTCTCCCCGTGCGAATTCAACTACCTCCACAAGAAGCAGTCCGGCGGTTTAGACTCTCTTTTAGCATGAAATGGCTTTTCTGTGTAGTTTGAGGTTTTCATGTTTCAGTAGAAAATGATTCAGTTTCTTATAAATATCCAGTTAATTCCCTATATTTACGAATTTTTTGTAAAGAAATGTTGAATTTTGTTCTTACGTCTGTCGCCATCTATCGGTAAAAAGTCGAAATAAGGGTCGAAAATTATTTTCAGTTCGCACAGTTTCAGTCATTGGATACTAGATGGCGCAACAACATTGGACTTCAGATTAGAAAATTAAACATGTAATTGAAGGTTAACGTTTTCATTGCAGTCAATTATTTTGGATTGTTTGTTCGAAAAATGTTCCTTTCAAAATTACTTGTTAGTTTAAAGACTTGAAATCTTTTCAACAGGAAATCGAATTTATTTTTTCACACAGTTATCAAACACTAGATGGCGTAACGTGTATCGAAACTATTTTGATTGTTTCATCTTTTATTTTTTCACAAACTACACTTAACGAGTCGATCTTTTCAAACTTTATTAAAAAAAGAATATCACGATATGTAGAAAATTATCCAATTTCTTATAAATATTCAGTTTATTCCGTATATTTTGGATTTTTTTGTGGAAAAACGTTGACTTTTGTTCTTATGGTCGTCTGCAGCCATCTATGGTGAAAAAGTCGAAGGAACGAAAATTATTTTCAGTTCACACAAAGTTTCAGTCATTGGATACTAGATGGCGCAACAACATTAGACTTTAGATGAGAAAATTAACATGTAATTGAAGGTAAACGTTTTCATTGCAATCAATTATGTTGATTGTTTGTTCGAAAAATGTTCCTTTCGAAATTACATGTTAGTTTAAAGACTTGAAATCTTTTCAACAGGAAATCGAATTTATTTTTTCACACAGTTATCAAACACTAGATGGCGTAACGTGTATCGAAACAATCACAGTAGCTTTTTCATAGTGAATAACATACTTAAATTCATACATAGGTTAGGTTAGGTCCAAAGTGAGTCGGTCTAATCGACCCTTCACTGCAACCCGCAAGGGTTTATTGTGGCTCACACCTATTCACACTCGACCAAATAAACCCAGCAGGCACAAAGTATATGCTCTGTTGATGAGGTAGTCAACTTGCAAGATTTCCACTTCGATACCCATGACAACCTTTCCGTATGAGGGTTTTTGCACGTCAGCTACACCTGACGATGCCTTAGATTCAACTGTGTAGGGCTTTTTCGCCTCTGGTTTTGGTGAATCATCATTTGAGCGCAAACGTTTGCTAACCTGTTCATGGGGGAGTTTGTTTCCCCACCCGAGACAGATTCTGCGTTCGCCGCTCAAGAATTTGGTGCAAGGCGATTTTATAAGGTACCCCGCTCTTGAGGAGACGACTCAGTCATTACATACATACATAGTCATATGTATAATACATACATAATCATATGTATAAAAAATGGATGTTTGTTGTTTGGTTGGTAAGTGATAAACTTGTACATCGCTCAACCGATCGTGATGAAACTTGACATGTACAAGTAATTTTTCATAGTGAAGGTCTTTAGGCTATCAATTTTTCTGTAACTCGCCACTAGATGGCGTTGTAGAACAATTTTTGGAAAGCACTGTTCTATAACGCTGTGCACGCCTAAGTTCGTGGATTCTGATTCTGTCAAAACATTGGAAAATCAGCGATACAGCAACATAGTACTAGTAACATATAAAATATAGCGAATATCTTTTATCAAAAACTGTATTTTGAACACAACAATGATAAACCAGTAATTTCTCATTGACTATGGCTTTATTCAAGAAAATTCAGGACATCTAGACATTTTTAAATGCGTTACAACTACGTATCAAAACATTATTTCTTTCTAACCCTGTCTTTGGTTTCGTATCTCGAGGTTTATTTCTAGAAAGGTTTGTTGGGTAAGATAATCAAGTTTTCTTGGAAAAACAATTGTTTTCTCGACAACGTTTCGATTTAATCTTGCCACAAACTTTATAACTGTTGTCTTTTTAATGTTGTGAGAAGTAGTAATATAATTATATTAAAATTACTCACCGAAAAGGGGTGTTTCCATGTTTAACTGTGACAAAATTCAAAAATCATTCGACATGCTAGATATAGGTATATGAAAAATAATAAAAATGTAGCAAATTTTTTTTAAAACGACTCAACGTAATGAATTATTTCCGTATTTCACTGATTAAGTTGACATATAGAGTACTGAAGCAACCAACATCCCTTCTAGTGTTGACTCCATTGTGTTTGACAATATGAATCATTTCACTCAAGTCTTTCAGATAAATATAGTTCGACATCTAGAAAAATGCCCCCATGCTCTTCTTTATGATCAACAAAAGCTAAGGAGTTCGTGATTTTATAAAGTTTCTTTCACAATGTGTCATGTGTTCTGAAATTCGTGTTTTTAGATAACTTCCAGTTTGTCCAACATATAATTTGGGACAGTTTTCACAGTTTCATTTGTAATTTATGTTAGATTATATATCTAGTGATGTTTCAGTTTTCTGTTCAGAGGAAAAAATATGTTTAAAAATCATTCAAAGGTCGATCAAAGTCATTTTATTTGCTGGACTTCATTCAGATAGGTTAAAAGATAAGGTGTTTGTCTTTCTAATATTCGTTACCAAGATATTTCTGTCTCACGTTACAATTTGCTCAATTATTTGGGAAAGGAATCGAGGTCAGTCTATTCAAGTGACGAGTAGAACTAGACACACCAAAAAATATTTGGAGAACTCTTCAATTAACAATATTTTGTTTCAGTGTTTGAAGAAGGAGTCTGGCAGATCCTCGAACCAGTAATGGCCGTCGAAGTGACCGCCCCCGACGAGTTCCAGGGGGCCGTGATGACGCAGCTGAACAAGCGGCACGGAATTATTACTGGCACTGAAGGTACCGAAGGCTGGTTTACCGTCCACGCTGAAGTGCCCCTCAACGAGATGTTCGGCTATGCGGGTGAGCTGCGCTCTAGCACTCAGGGCAAGGGAGAGTTCACGATGGAGTACAGCAGGTATTCGCCAAGCCTGCCCGAAGTGCAAGACCAACTCGTCATGGAGTTCCAGAAGGCCTCGGGGCTTCTGCCGGAGGCGGACAAGAAGAAGAAAAAGAATTGAGAGCACGACTTAGTTAGGTGAACAATTGTGTTGTAGGTTAATTTTTTTGTAAATATTTATTATTAAGAATTTTATTAAAAACTTTAGTTTGTTCTTTGTGTGAGATGATCGCGTTGGATTTTTAACTAACAATTGAAAAAGTAAGTACAGAATACGTCAGCTATTGATTGAAAGATGGCGTAAAACGGTTATTATAAAGGTAGGAACAGGATATAGATGATTTCAAATACTCTCTAATAGATGGCGGCATGCTCCAGGAACAACGTGTAGGTTTCAGCTATTATTACAAAGATGGCGCAGCATTCCCTCCAAAGTCCTTTCTTGGAGGAAATGCTGTGCCATCTCTTGGATAATAGCTGAAACTATCTTCACGGTGCTTCTGAACTATACTGCCATCTATAAGAGAGTAACAGAAACTAACTATATAGTGTTAATTTCAGATATTCTCTGATAGATGGCGCAGCATTTCCTTCAATACCCTACTTTCTTGAATGGAATGCTGCGCCATCTCTCGGATAATAGCTGAAACTATCTTCACGTTCTTACTTGAGTATACCGCCATCTATCGGAGAGTAACAAAAACTAATTATATCGTATTAGTTTCAGATATTTTCTGATAGATGGCAGTATGCTCTAGACGCACCGTGAAGGTAGTTTCAGCTATTATCCAATAGATGGCGCAGCATTCCCTTCAATATCCTACTTTCTTGAATGGAATGCTGCGCCATCTCTCGGATAATAGCTGAAACTATGGTCACGTTGCTACTTGAGTATACCGCCATCTATCAGAGAGTAGCAGAAACTAACTTATGTTGTGTTAGTTTCGGATATTCTCTGATAGATGGCAGTATGTTCTAAGAACATCGTGTAGGTAGTTTCAGCTATTATCCGAAAGATGGCGCAACATTTCCCAAAAANGAAAGATGGCGCAGCATTTTTCAAAAACCCTACTTTCAGAAGGAAATGCTGCGCCATCTTTCGGATAATAGCTGAAGTTACCTACACGTCGTTTTTGGAGTTTTCCGCCATCTATCGGAGAGTATCTGAAATTAGTATATCGTTGTTTTTACTAACTACAACTATCATCTACTAGATGGCAGCACTGGCTTTCAAGGAATGACTTCAAAAGTAAAAACACGGAAGTTACACCTACTATCTTATAGATGGCGAAACAATTGTTGTAAGAAAACAAAAATAATGACAATTTCAACCATTTCTTTTCATAAAATTAATGTTGCATTCGATGGCTCCGAACGCAAAATTTGCGACAGAACAAAAAAACAACCAAAATAGTATAACTATTTATTAATAGATATTTACACATCTAAAAAAATACATTGCAGGAAAAAATATGATCTTAAATGGTACAATATAGTTCAATCTAGATATACATATATACAATATATCCAATGAGGACATGGCATTACTTCCAACTTATTTATTTAAAAAATAACCAGTGGTCAACAATAAAATCTGTATAAGGAAAACTCGAAATATCTACGTGGGGCGATCTCAATCTCCAAGCCAAGAACTGAACGCCCTTTCCGAAACGGTGAAACGGCATGTATTTGCATCAGTTTAACCCTAGGTGTGTGTTTTGTGTGTGGGTGTGTCAATGCTCACTTAAATTTACCAGTAATAAGCTCAAGAGATATACGATATTGTCATGTATCGGTAAATAGTAACGATCCGAAGAGAAACGGTAGGAGAAAAAGTGTTTTGTTATATTTAATCGACGGACTATCCGTGCCGGCCACCTCCTTCTATATATCTACAGAGTATCCCTGCAAAGTAAAACCTCCAGTAATCAAGACTCGCCATTCCTCACTACAAACTCACCTCACCACCTTATCCAACACCCCTTTGAGCCTCTGTTCCGTGATGGATGGCGCCAGTTTCTGTACCAGCTCGCAGATGAACATCTCGCTGATGCCGGGACTCGTCCTCTCTGCTATTTCGAACGCGCTCTCCAAATCCTCGATGGCGTCGTTAGATTTGTGCGACGCTTCCGCCGATCTTCCGTTGTACTGGTGTTTTTTCTGTAACTGATGACGGAAAATATTATCCGGCTCGAAGGACCAAATACGACAATTTTCACAATAATTGTGGTAATAATCGTGACGGAATTGGACGATATTTGATGAAAATCTATGACTATGTGAGTTTTTCACTAAAAAGCTTCTACAAGCATGTTTCCAACTCATTAAGGCTTTATATACGTGAGTAATTTCAACTATATGACTTGGTCTATTTAGTAATGACTAATAATTTTACTTGAAAAGGCAGAATTCAGTTAGTGTGAACACTTCTGACGAAGCTAGTGTTTAGTGAATCATGGGTTGCATTTTGTAAACTAATTAGTCAAATAATGGTGATAATTCACAAACAAAATCCGAATTATTGGCTGGAATAGTAAATGAGAATATGGAAATATCAAATCCGTTCCTAATTTACTGTTATAAATACAAAAATGCCAAACTTATCCAGCCTCGAAGGACCAAACAGCTTACTACTGCAAAACATATGATTCCTCAAAGTTTTTCAACAATCATGTTGGGAAATTCATCAGCAATGGACCTCAAAGAATGTTGGTTCATATGCACTACTGTGGCACTTACTTACCTCTGTTATTATTGGATAAATAAACCCTCCAAGCGCCGGAGGCGATCGACTTTCAATTTTCCCGCTGTACGAATGCTCCCTAGACATCGACTTCCTGTTCTGTTTCTTATCCGCCGTCCTGGCGGATTCGCTCGCTCCTCGATGGTCCAGCGGACTCAACTCGCGCGAAATCCTCTTCTCTTTTTCTTTAACTTCGCGTTCGCGATCCCTGTCTCTATCTCGATCCCTATCTCGTTCCCTTTCCCGTTCGGAATCCTTTTCTCGATCCCGGTCCTTGTCTTTTCTGTTGTCCAACTGAGTTTGGGCGACCGACGAAGATTTGGAAGACTGAAAGAGTTAAAATCCTACATTGGAGGTACGTTATTTCGCCCCGAGGAGGTGATTATCTAGTTGGTGTCAGGTGTGGGGTTCCAAGAAGTGTCAGGTGTGTACTATTATTTCATACTTACAGGCGTTGCTTTGTCTGACCTATAGTGATTGAGATTGGAGTCCTTGGGTGGCGACTTGCCCAGCGTTGGCCCCGCTGAACCGTTTTGGGCCCTGTTGATGATGGGGTTCATTGAGGGCATGTCCTCCAACGGTAGTTTCATGTTGCCTTTCACAGTCATTATCCAAGGATCGTCCAAGTCGCCGTCTTGTTTTGCTTCTTCCCTGCAGAGATAACGAAAATGAATACACATTTCAGAGACCTGCTCAATATTGTAAATAACGTTTGTAACACTCACGAATCTGAGTTTTCGGATTCAGTTTCGCTCTCCTCGTTCCTCGTACACCTCCACTTCTTGTATCTATCAATCAAGTCTATCAGATAAGAGTTTTTCTTGGCCTTCCTTATGAATGGATACTTCAGGAGTTCTTTAGCAGTGGGCCTCTGAAAAACATGAACGCAATCATCATATATCCAAACCACGGAGGCATCAACACTCACGTTTTCGGGATCCTTGTTCAAGCAAGCCTCCACGAAATCCTTGAACTGTTTGCTGTAGCTGCCGGTCAGTTGCGGAGGATTGTTTTTAGGAATCAGAAAGAGGACCCGCATGGGATGTAGTTCTGAATTGGGTGGTTCGCCCTTGGCCAGTTCGATGGCAGTGATCCCCAAGCTCCATATGTCCGCTTTGGAGTCGTACGCTGACTGTTTGATAACTTCGGGTGCCATCCAGAAAGGGGTGCCGACAAAAGTGTTTCTCTTACTCGTCGTATTGGTTAGTTGACCAGCGACACCTGCAAATCAAAGTTCAAATCAGGCAACTAGAACTTACACACTTGGAGAGAATTAGTTTCAACATTTTTCAAAAGATCCCTTACCAAAATCAGCGAGTTTGACATCACCCATCTCGCTCAGGAGCACGTTAGCAGCTTTGATGTCTCTGTGCAACTTTCTCTCGCTATGCAAATAGTCCAGACCCTTCAGAACCTCCCTGAGGATGATTGCGATGTGCATCTCTTCGAAATTCCCGGCTTTCATCAGATCCAGCGCCGATCCCCCGCCCAGATATTCCATGATGATCCACAGCTTCGTACCCTAAGAACGTTTACACGATGAGAAACCAGCTAGAGTTGAGAATATCTACTATTCAATTTAGATTTGCCGGAGTTAATTGATGTTTCAACTGTTCTACGAAGAGCAAACAACTATCTGCTCTTAATATAAGTACAAGGTGACAGAAAACTCTGCTTGTTACCCGGGACTAAAACTTTTTAAAACTTTTCCACAAGTACAATATATC